GGTGTCAATTTTGATTCGTGGAATAGGCCTATTTATGAATAAATCATTTGTTAAACTTTTGGACTGTTAGCCTTTATTCACTTTCATTCAGACTAAAGGTTCATCTATCGGCTGATGGTGTGAAAAGGTGTGTAAGCGCGCCTAAAATAATGTCGGGAAACACAATAAACGTGAAATATTACCTGTATTGTAGGGTTACTGACCGGGGGAGGGGGGGGAGGGGGGGAGGGAGGGGGAGGCAGATTGAGATTCAATAAAGAGGCATGGATTTTTTCCATATATACAGTATGTTGGCATACATTCCTCTACAATTTATTTAGCTCTGCCTCTCTCTTTGTACACACACATAAACACCCACACACAAACACATTGGTTTGAACATTCTAACTATCTAGATGCACGTCTTGGAATTTATATATATAAAGACGATGAGTAGGTTGACCACTCCGACCCGCCAGTTGTCAAACATCACATTAACAGATGTACAGCCGTAATTATATGTTATCTTGAAATTGTGAAATTGCTGGCACATTATAATTCTTATTCACGTAATGCAGAGATATGCACCTTTCATTTCTGTTCAACTTAACAGAAGTCTTTGAGTCTTATAATTATAACAAACCAGCAAACGTCCTGATTTTGTGAATGGGAATACAGCACACCGAGTGGTATGAAAAATAACTAGTTTCTTACACGCCCTAAATCGGCAAATGGCGTAGCCCGTCATATAATATGCCTACCAATTTCCTCAGGGAATATGAGAGAGTGCTGACAGTGGCGCCACCGTATGTTGGTAGTCAGATTAGGTATTAATGGCTGTAGGGGAGGACGAGTTAACAGGAGAACACATGCATACGTTGGATAATTTATTTCTTTAACTCGAATTAAGTGAAAACACAAGGACTACGTTAATCATTGGGGTCTGCTTTTATTCGTATATTTAGGCCAGCTTTAGAAATAATCAGTCAGCATATTTCTCTGTAGAAGATCAATAAAGAAGAGTAAGCAATTATGAAGCAAAAATAAATAATATATATTTGTTCACAAAGCGTTCTACAATAAAGTTGCTAGACTTTCTTTTACACAAATATATAACTCTTTTTCTCTTTCTGAGCTTAGAGTGAGCAGAATGCAATTGCGTCACCAGACATAAAATCTGTTTTATTACCTGGCGGTTGCTTTGGTCAGGTCAGCGTCAGGTGATATACAGACGCCATATTTTTTCTACCTTTGAACAATTTTTAAAGAAACAGGAGAAACAGGATACGCGTTTTGCACGGAATGTATTTGCTAAATATACTGAAATATGACGTATAAAATATCATAAAACTTAAATATATACGTATAATTAGGGCTTAAACAAAAAGCAGAAAAGACACTGCAAGTAAACGCGATACAACTGTGTGAAGAAACAGACTTTTTTTTCTTAATCGACTGCTCTTTGTTATGGTGAGGTCATCATAAATAAATAAAGATACGACCGATTTCTGTGTACCTAGTAGATCAATAAACCAAAGTAAAATTGCACACTGCTTACTGCATTAAGTAAGTGCTAAGTTAAATAATAAAGACGCAAAAATAATAAAAAATAGCCGCCAAGGAGAGAAAACGAGGGGGGCAAAGGAAATATTTACGGATTCTAATAAGGAAAATGATGAAGTTGGAAGTGAAAGAGGACCGTGTGCAGGAACAATGTGGGCACTGAGGCGACCCCCGAGAAGAGAAAAGGACTGAATGACAAAGAAGAAGATTATTCCATGGCACTTACCTGTTAAATATGATACGAAACTTAGTGCTACGCTAAATAATAAAGACGCAACAATAAAAAAGTTTTTGAAAGAAATCATTCAATCATGCAAAGGCCAGCCATAAAGATTTGGCAGGTGTCTTTCATTCAAAGCAAGACAAACATGGTTCTTTTTTCAATAAAATGAGCTTGGTGTGAGCACAATACAATTGCGTCACCAGACAATAAAATATTTTTATTACCTGGCGGTTGCTATGGTCAGGTCAGCGTCAGGTGATAAATTGACGCCAAGCATTTCTCTACTTTTAGCAGTTGTAAAAGACATTGGAAGAAAAAGGGCACGCATTTTAGGCTCTGCATGAAATGCATGTTCTTTAAGGAGAGACAGCTCTGAGTATATACATGTAAGTAATCGCTGCAGGACCAGGAGGTACAATTAAATCCTTGACACCATTATAGCTCAGTAACTCCACTGCAAAGGTACCTTAACCAGCTTTCTTCACTTGTTCCTATACAAAGAGACAGGCAGACATGGCAGAAGCACTAGCAGCAACTATTAAAGAGGATATCTTGACATGTAGCATCTGTAGGGACGAGTATAAGGACCCCCGTGTGCTGTTTTGCTACCATACATTTTGCTTTAGATGTATATCTGGCCATGCTACGCGCACATTGACTCCAAACCAGACATTTCTGTGTCCTATCTGCAAAGAGATAATCCAGATTCCAGCTGGTGGACTTGCAGAACTCAAAAAGAACTTTGTCTTCTGCAGGACCAGGGACATCATCACCCAGCAACTAAATAGAAGGTCATTGACAGAAGAACAGACCATTGCAGCAGCAGTGACACGGGTCAGTGCACAAAAAACCAGTAAATGTGAGAAGCATCCCAATAATGAATTAAAATTTTACTGTGAAGATGATGATTCTGTTGTATGTAGTGAATGTGCAGCATCAGATCATTACAGACATGGTATTGTGCCAGTTGAAAAAGTTGCAAAATACAATAGAAATAAAATTAAAGCTGCTCTCGTGAAAACCATGGAAACGACGAACAAGTTCAAAGAGGCAGTTGCCATGGAAACAGCCAATGAAACAGAGGACACTCATATCATGACTACCACTATCGATGAAATTGAAAACCAGGCACGGCGCATTGTTCAACATATTCATGAGATGAAAGAAACTCGAATATTGGATGTAAAGAATGAAATCAAATTCAAAAGGAAGCAGGAGAAAGCAAATAAGGAGACCCTTCAGGTCCACCGTGCCTCCCTGCAAAGTGCCTGTGACTTTGCTCAGCAACTGGTTACAAATGGCACTGACTCTGATATCATGGCTCACGCAATATCTTTGATAAAAAGACCGGCAGTGATGGAGAAAACACCTGTTCCAACTCCAGACACACTGGCACAGATATCCTACAGCCCTGGTGAAATATCTGCTGCTGGACTGGAGGCCATGTTAGGACAGGTGACAGTACAGTCACAACTTCCATTAGATGGACAGGAAACAAACCCTGTTTTCTTAGAGACTGCAGAATGTGTGCGTTCATTCAGTTCTAAACTGAAGGATGATAAAGATATCAACATATTTGGATTAGCCTTGGATTTGGGACATGTGGTTGTTGCTGATAATGAAAACGACAGAACAAAAACATTCACAGATGAGGGAGAGTTTCAATTTGACATTAAACTAGACAGACCATTTGATGTGGCTGTGTCACAGACTGGCCACCTGTATATAACATCAAAAGGTGATGAATGTGTCAAAGTGTACTCCGCCAGAGGTCAGCAGGTGACAACCATGGGTCAGGATCAACTTGACACGCCACTTGGTATCGCATTGAACAGACAAGGCCAAGTGATGGTCTGTGATGGCGAAGTAAAATCTATATTCACATTCCAAGCAGACAGTGGACAGCTTCTGGACACCATGTCACTCAGTATGTGTGAAAATCCCCGGTATATCACAGTGAACAGATTGAATTATACTCTTGTGATATCAGACAATGTCCAACACTGTGCACATGTGTTGTCACCTACTGGTGATCAGCTGTACCAGTATGGCGGCACACGAGGCAGTGGTGATGGTCAGTTGGCTGGACCATGTGGAGTGTGCACAGACCGCTATGGTCACATCTTCATTGCTGACTGTAATAACCACAGGATAGTGGCACTGAGTCCACAGGGGCAGTTTATCAGATACGTTGCCACTAGGGATGATGGGTTAGAGGCTCCAAAAGCATTAGCCATCAACTCTGTCGGCCAGCTGGTGGTGGCAGAGGCAGAGGGCAAAATTAAGACATTCCAGTACTTACAGTAAATACTGATCATATTGAACACTGTTGTAACTATATCACAATACTGATGTTTATAAAAACATTGTGTAACCATTGATAATGTTGATAGGTAGTAGGAACCTGAATAATATATTCCTGAATAATTAATCTACTGGACAGCAGTGAGAGCAGATTCAAATAGAAACTATATTTACATAGGGTGGTTTAAGATGTTTCATTTTTTGATAAGGTAATAAAGTAACTGTATTCTATAAAAAGGATAACTAAGCATTTTCTTGATAGACTTTATTTATTTATTTATTTATTTATTTATTTATTTATTTATATTTTGTGTGTGTGTGTGATTTGTACCTTTTGTATAGTTTGCATATGCTAGATACTTCTCTGGACTATTTTCTGTGGAGATACCTAAAAGAAAATGTCTATGCCAAAAATCCCCAACGATTGATACTCTCAAGATTAATATTGGAAGAACCAAGAGAATAATTCACTATGACATTTTGAACATTGTATAGTGTATAAACAATCCACAGCCAAGCAGCTTGAATCGAGAATGAAGCTATTTGACAGTTTATATTCATAGTGATGAAAATGGCTATGCAGAATAGCGACAAGATCATGATGTAAATAAAGCTCAAATATACAGTAATCAAGGGATCTAACTGTATCTTGACGTATATTTATATATATATATTCTAATAAAGAAGCCTGTGCAGTATATCGGTTCATTAATGTTGTAAATGAAAGTCAAATACACAGTAAGAAAAAGAGTTAACAGAAATAAATAAATGCTATTTTTTTTAAATAGAATTTCATTCATAAAGTACGTTGAACAATAACATGAAATTTGACATTTCAGGTCTTAAAAATATTTTGCTGGTCCTTTTGATTGACTTGTACAATTTTAACCGGTATTCAGGGACGGATAGAGGTCGACTTCAGGTTCTTCCGAAGGACAGTCAGAATTTTTATACTGACAGGCATGCAATTTTTTTCCATCAGAAGATGTGGTTTATGTTTACATTACCTTAAGTGTTTAAAATCGCTCAATATGTCACTATATTACGTGAGATCAGATTTTAATTTAAAAAATAGTCGTAGACGTTCTCTAAGGGCTAGAAGCCCCTGTCAGATAAACAGGTGTACTTTGGTTGTTTACTTTCACATACTTTAAAAAAAGAGCAGAAAAGGCACACCTGTAGGCATGTCTCTATTTCATAATCCTAAGTGCAAAGTAAACTCAATACAACCCTATCAGCAAACAACAGACTTGACAATTATAAATCGACTGCTCTTTGCTATGGTGAGGTCATCTTAAATAAATAAACAGTCATCAGATTTCCCTCTACCTTGTAGTTCAATAACAGAAGAAAAATTGCACACTGAGCACTGCACAAAGTAAGTGCTTAGTTAAATAATAACGACGCAAAATTAAAAATGGATGATGGTACATGTGGTTGTTGCTGATGATAAAAATGACAGAACGAAAATATTCACACATAGTGGAGAGTTTAAATTTGACATAAAACTAGACAGACCATTTGATGTGGCTGTGTCACAGACTAGTAACCTGTATATAACACCACGGGATGATGGATGTGTGAAAGTGTACTCCACCAGAGGTCAGCAGGTGACAACCATGGGTCGTGGTACACTTGAGGGTCCACGCGGTATCACACTGAACAACCAAGGTCATGTAATGGTTTGTGACAGTAGAAAGAAGTCCATCTTCACATTCCATGCAGACAGCGAACAGCTCCTGAACACTATTCCACTCAGCATGTGTGAAAACCCCCGGTACATCACAGTAAACGGTGTGAATGATAACATTGTGATATCAGACAATTGCCAACACTGTGTACATGTGTTGTCAACTACTGGTGATCAGCTGTACCAATATGGCACAGAAGGAAGTGGTTATGGTGAGCTGAATGGACCATGTGGAGTGTGTACAGACAGCTATGGCCACATTTTTATTGCTGACTGTAATAACGACAGGGTAGTGGCATTGAGTCCCCGGGGACAGTTTATCAGATACATTGCCACTGAGGATGATGGGTTAGAGAGTCCAAGAGCATTAGCCATCAGCCCTGCTGGCATGCTGATGGTAGCAGAGGCAGACGGCAAAGTTAAGAAATGTCAGTACTTACAATAACAACTGATCACTTTAACACTGATGAAAATATATCACAAAAGTGATGTTTATAGAAACCTTATATTACCACTGATAATGATCGATAATGAAGAGAGGTTGTAGGAACCAGAATGTGGGGTGGACAGCTGTGATAGCAGACTGAAAGACTATGTATTTATATATGATACCTAGAAGATAATTTTCCCATTTTTGATAAAGTAAATATTTTCTTATGAAAGGAAAACAGTTCAGTTAAGTTTGCTCAAGCTCTAGGCCTACCTGTACAGGAGACCTGTTGATACGTAACATACAAAACCGGATGAGCAGGGTTCCTAATGTCATGTTGAACATTGCAATTATAAAATTCACCGTGCCAGAAAGTACAGTAATTCAGCACCATTGAACCAGTATGGATCGAGTACACTATAAAATATTGTGGTGTGCTCGCAAATATTATATGCATATAAATTTATATATATATATATATATATATATATATATATATATATATATATATATATATATATATAATGCAGTATTTGTACCCTGCATGGTCTTTTCAGCTACAGTTGTTAATAAAACTCTAATATGAAGTAAGGAAGTTGCCTATGCAAAATATGGGCAACTTCGTGTTGTAAATAAAACTCAAACACGGAAATAAATAGGACTATCTGTAACTTCACGTTGTAAAGAAATAGTCTGATAAAGAGGCCTATGCAATATATCGTAATAATGTACATAAAACTCACAGACTTTGACAGTAAGATAGATAAATAAATGGAAGAAAAAAGGTCATGGGATTTTTTAGAATTTTATTTTTGAAATGCGTCATGCTGTACATAAAACTCAGATACATAGTAAGTAAGATAAGTAATTGGAAGAAAAAACAACTTGGGAATTTGTAGGTTTTTATTTTTGAAGTACGTTATGCTGTACATAGAATTCAGATACATAGTTATAGTTAGATAAATAAATGGAAGGTATTTTTAGATTTTTATTTCTGAAGTACGTCATGCTGTACATAAATTTCAGATACATAGCAAGTTAGATGAGTATTTGGAAGAAAAAAAAAACATGGGTGTAGATTTTTTTATTTTTGAAGTATATCATGCTGTAAATAAAAACCAGATATATAGTAAGTTAGATAAATAAATGGAAGAAAAGTGCCATGGGTATTTTTTTAAATTTTATTCTTGAAGTACGTAATGTTGTATATCAAACCCAGATACATAGTTAATAAGATGGTAAAAATTTTACATTGACGGGCATCTAATTTTTTCTATACAAAGATGCTCAAAAATGTTCAAGTTCAACAAGATGTGGTTTATGTTGACATTTCCTAACACGTTTCAAATCCCACACTATGTCACCGTTATATTGAAACCAGATCCAAAATAAATTACATACACACTGTACATTTAATCCATCATTCCTAAGTACATTTGACGGAAAATGAAAAAAAAAACCTGTCGGCTAAACAGGCTTACTTTGGTTGTTTTTTCACGTACTTAAACAAAAAGCAGAAAAGGCACACCTGCAGGAATGGTTCTATTTCACAAACCTGAGCGCAGTGTAAAGGCAATACCACTGTGTCAGCAAAGAACAGACTGCATTATTCTTTATGGTCTGCCCTTTGCTATGGTGAGGTCATCTTGAATAAATAAACATATTTCTCTTTACCAAGTAGATCAATAAATGAAGTAAAAATTGCACACCGCATACTGCACAAAGTAAGTGTTACATTCAATAATAATGACGTAAAAATCAAAATAAATTTTAAAGAAATCGATCTATAATACAAGTACCATCGATCTACAGCTATGTGGTTTATTTTACCTAATGCGAGACCAACAGGGTTCTTTTTCTATAGAGCTTGTATGATCTTAGAGTGAGCACAATCCAATTGTGTCACCAGATCAAAACATGTCTCATAACCTGGCGGTTGCTATGACCAGGTGCGCGTAAGGTAATAAACGCCGTATTTTTCTCTACCTTTGAACAATTCTAAAGGCACAGGAGAAACAGGACACACTCTTTGCACGAAATGCATCTGCCAGAAAAGCTGGTATACAACGTACAATACTGCATTTTGATTGTAATTAATTGTAAGTTGCCTCTTACAGTCTCGGTCTTTTGAACTTGGTATTGGAAAGAGTGATACTGTGCTCTCATCCTTACGGTTGCTAAGCTTACCTTACACATAGAAGCATGAGTGATTTATGCCTTCCCAGAAGGACTGAGCTCTAACTCCCATGAATTTGATTGACCCAGCAAATTTCTCTGTCATTAAAATTTTGAGACGTGTGCATATTCAGTTAAAAGTAGCGACGGTCCTTTTTCCGAGGATATAACGAGAATGTGCTCACGATTTTGTTTAATAAGAAAGAATCTAATAAAACACCCCCTGCCATTTCAAAATCCCCTCTCATTGAAGACATTACAAGAGGATATTACGCTAGATCCAGTGCTGAATTTCATCTGGCCCGTAAGAAATTGCTAGATATCTTTCTATCCATTAGACCCTTTTCTTCGCGATCTCTTTCTTAGAAATTTTCTTTAAAATAGTGATGGATTGACAGAAAAAAATATTTAATCACCAGTACTGAAATAATCATTAACACCGACATAATGGTAAATCTTGTCTATTCCGAGTGACACGACCTTGGATTAACAGTATGTTGTCATTGTCGTGCAATTTATGCTTTCTCGGAAGACATTAAAAGACGAGGTATTAAATAGACTGGAGACTGATGAAAGAGGAAGTCCGTTATACTAAATATTTGAATCATATGAATAAAAATCCAGCGATTTTTGTTGTGGGCTTAATACAATTAGAGGATAGAGAGAGAAGTGGAGATAAGGCGGCGGGGAAAGCGGGTGGAAAGTAGTATAGAAAGAGTATGAAAGACCATAAAGGTATTGTGTTTTCTACCCTGCGTATTGTCACATATATAAATATGTACTCTCTTTTTAAACATTAAAATGTGTAACATATAATATGTGTTTTTACACTTGGATATCACAACCAGATGCACGTTCGTTTTAAGCGGTACCAGATCCACTTTAAATAAGTAAAGATTAATTAAAGCCGTTTCTGAAAAATGAAAAATGTAGTAGAGTATAAGAGTACCATGTACGCATTATACTTGGTGTTGAACAGTTTGAATGCCCAAGCAAAAATAATTCATGTGAAGCGATTACGAAAGTTTTCAACACACATATAGCAAACATTTAAACATCAGTTTACATTTACCCCTGGATGTACATGTAAGTATATAATAATAATAATAATACACAAATTATTGGACACTTATGTGGGGGAGGTTGGCTTCGATTCTGCGGACCCCCCCCTCCTTCAAATAATCCTGCATCCGCCCCCGAAAGACATGGTAAAAATTTTTGTTCTATACACATATGTTTTTAAAAAATAAATACAACTTTATTTATTTATTTATTTTTATTTTTGGACAATTCAGCATGTGATTCAATATTGATTTAGGGTGAAATGTACCTTTTAACTCTTAGCGTCGCTTTCTTTCGTGAGCTTTCCTAAGATCAGCTCGAATTAATTGCCTTTTGGGGGAAAATGGCACGACAGTCCAGGGAATTGCTTCCCTTAATGATGTTCGTAATTTCCGTCGAAAAGCTTTGTTAATATTCATGTCTTTTTGTTATTACTATTTTATTTGCACATATAACATGCAAATTGAACTTTAACATTTTTAACAGACACATTTTAGAACATACCCAGTTAGCCAGCTGACTGCTAAGTTTTTGTTGTTGTTGTTCTTCTTCTTCTTCTTATTTTTTTGTCGCGGCCTGTGCTGCCGTTTTTGCCATTTTCTTACCTGTCCTCTCATTTTTCCTAAAGAGAGGCAGTTGTTATGCATCATGAAATAACAGACGCAGTTTTGATCTCTGGTCTTTGATGAAAAACGGGGAAGGAGGAAAAGGAGCGGATGTTTCAGGGATTGCATTAAAAACATTTGCCAGAAAAAAATTACATAACAGTGATCTAGTAAACGGGCATGCTGAGTAAGTTCTTTTTTCTTTTTGTTTCTTTGATCAGCTGAAGCACCAGGAAGTAAATGAGGAATTGATAATCAGAGCCATTCAGCCATGGCAGAAGCACCAGCAGCAGCTTTCACAGATAATCTCTTAACGTGTGGCATCTGTCTGGGAGAGTATGAGGACCCCCGTGTGCTGCCTTGCTACCATACATTTTGTTATGGTTGTATATCTGACTATGCTTCAAAAACTGCATCTCGGGACGGGACATTTCACTGCCCTCTTTGTAGAGAAGAGATGAATTTCCCAAAGAATGGACTTGTGGAGTTGAAAAAAGATTTCCGTGTTAACAAAACGAAAGAGCTTCTGAGTCAGAGACAGCAGCATGAAGTCTCAACTCCAAATAAAGAAACTGATGTTAATAGTGTGACACAGATTTCCATCAGTTGTGAGAAACATCCTAATAATGAATTAAAATATTACTGTGAAGATGACGATACTGTTGTATGTGGTGACTGTGCATCAACAGATCATTACAGACATGGTATTGTGCCAGATGATAAAGTTGCAAAAAGCAACAGACATAAAATTAAAGCTGCCCTTCTGAAAACTATGAAAACAACGAACAGGTTTAAAGAGGCAGTTGCCATGGAAACGGCCATTCAAAAAGGGGACTCTCATATGAGGACAGTCACTGTCAAACACATCCAAAAGCAAGCTCAGAGTATGCGCATATACATTGACCAGAGGGAAGCGACATTGATATTAGAAATATACTCTGCTTACGACAACAGAAAAAACAGAGGGAGGCAAACAATAAGATCCGTGAACTTCACCATGCCTCCTTGCACAATGCATGTAACTATGCCCAGCACTTAATAACTAATGGCTCTGACTCTGATATCATGGTTCATGTAAAGCCTCTGATAGAAAGACTGGCAGAGATGGAGGGAGAAAATACCCGTTCCAGCTTTGTACACACCAGCACAGATATCCTACAGTCCTGGTGAGATATCTGTAGCTGGACTGGTGGCCATGTTAGGACAGGTGACGGTACAGCCACAGCCTCCATTTGCAGAGCAGGGAACAAATCTAACATTAGTACCACATCCTCCTGTTTTCTTAGAGAAAGCAAAATGTATGCACTCTTTCAGCCCCAAGCTGAAAGATGAGGATAGAATTGTCATAGCAAGATTAGCCAGGCCTAACCAACTACCAGACTCGGCACCTAAGGATCCTGAAATAACCGGTATATCGGACCACACTACCTGTTTTCAAGGTGTGTGTCAGATCGCATTTCGGAGTATCATACTCCAGAACAAATTTTGTAGGACGACTGCGGGCTCATCCACGCTCGGCTGAACAACCTTAAACTGTTCTCTTACTTTAGAGTACTCTATTTCATTGTCTCTTTGGGGGTATATGCAGGCCTACCCAACTACCAGACTCGGCACCGAATGATCCAGAATTCACTGGTAAATCGGACCACACTACCCGTTTTCAAGGTGTGTATCAGATCGCATTACACAGTATCAGACGCGACACCGCTATTGCCTAGTACGCGATGTGATAGTGACGATTCTTAGCGGGGTTGAAAAGCATTGCATCACCACTCAAAATTTGTTCAGGGTATGATAGTGTGTAATGCGATCTGACACACACCTTGAAAACGGGTAGTGTGGTCTGATTTACCGGTGAATTCTGGGTCATTCGGTGTCGAGTCTGGTAGTTGGGTAGGCCTGATATGGGGACTTTACGACATTCGGTTTGAATGTTTTAACCACTTTTGAGAGGGCTTTTTTGCATTGTATTAGATTAATGTGGCAGTTTAAGGTTCATCTAGGTGGCTTTCAAATTTATGCACCCGGTTTTAAAATCATATAGCGATTAAATACGACAATCGTTTACTAACCAATCAAGGTGACAGCCGAGCATGGGCTCATCCTGTCGGTGTTCTGACTGATACTCCGAAATGCGATCTGACGCACACCTTGAAAACGGGTAGTGTGGTCCGAAATACCGGTTAATTCAGGATCCTTAGGTGCCGAGTCTGGTAGTTGGTTAGGCCTGTTAGCCATAGATGGGGAAAACGTGTTAGCAGTGGATAACGGAAATCACAAAACAGGAACATTCACACATGCCCGAGAGTTTAAATTTGAAGTAAAACAAAACAGTTCAATTGATGCGGCTGTGTCAGAGACTTGGCACCTGTATATAACTTCAATGCATGACAAATGTGTGAAAGTGTACTCCACCAGAGGTCAGCAGGTGCCACGGGTAATTACACTGACCAGACAAGGTCATGTGATGGTTTGTGACAGTAAAAAGAAATCCATCTTGACATTCCATGCAGACAATGGACAGCTCCTGGACACTATTCCACTCAGTATGTGTGAATATCCAGAGTACATCGCAGTGAATAGTGTGAATGATAACATTGTGATATCAGACTGGGGCAATTACTGTGTACATGTGCTGTCACCTAATGGTGATCAGCTGTACCGGTATGGCACACGAGGCAGTGGTGATGGTCAGCTGTTGGGACCTCTTGGAGTGTGCTTAGACAGCTATGGTCACATCTTCAATGCTTACACGACGGACAGTGGGATAGTGGCACTGAGTTCACAAGGGCAGTTTATAAGATACATTGCCACTAAGAATGATGGTTTGTGGTGTCCTATAGCATTAGCCATCAACACTAGCGGCCAGCTGGTGGTGGCAGAAGAACAGGGCAAAATTAAGACATTCCAGTACTTACAGTAAATACTGATCCCTCTGTACAATGATAAAAACATATGAAACTGCCGATATTTGTAAACACTATGAAGGAACCAGAGTATAAGGTGTTGTTATTCTAATGAACATCTGTGATGGAAGACAAGTTCGCGTAAAATTCATGGTCCATAAAAAACTCCAGACGGCCGATTTTAAGATCCTTCGAAATTTAAGAACTATTCGAAATTCACGGTACATGATTTTATGTATTTATATATGATGGCCCGGAGATAAGTTTTGTGTGGTGTTTTGTTTTGAATAGTTCGCTAATGCTTTAGACCTATCCCCGCTTAAAAATAAAAAATAAAAAAAATAGAGGGCGAACGCTGCCTTTTCTCACGTTTTAGAACTATTATTCAACTGGTCAAAGAGTCAAAGAGGGGACCATTGTAGTAATATTTTTTTAGAAAACCTGAAACCAAAAAAGTTGTTCATTTGCAAATGTTAGCTTTTCAATAAATTTATCTTAAATTAAATCCACCAAACATTTACAAACATAGAAGTGAAATATTTCGTCAATTTATTGCAATATTGCAAAAAGATTTTACAACATACAAAAAATTGCTCATTTTCACATTTTTATTTTACATTGTATCTACTGTTGCTATGGTATAATATGACAACATTTTAGTATGAATAATGAAATTATATATGAAGAATTCCACTTTTCATAAGCTTAATCTTCTGCAATGGCAGGATTTATAGAATAATTTTAAAACAACCAATGTTTACACAGAAAAATAAGCCAACCGCTACAGCCAGTGTTTGAATAAGGAAACAACTATACATATTGTCACTGAGGGAACATAATTACGAAAATTCTTCAAATAGACTGAAAATAAATGATAAATAAAATTAAGGCAGTAAAATTTATCAATTTTCAGTAGAAAATGTAGAGAATCCAGTGGTCTATTCGACATTAAGACCGTGTCCCCTATGAGGGTCACTTAGAGGAGAGGGTCACTATGGGGGTGGGTAACCGGGGGGGGGGGGTCACAAAAACTGTAGGCTACATTCAACCACATTTATAAATAACTTCTACACTGATATTTCATTCAATTCAAATTCAGTTCTGGTCTCACAAAAATTCATTCGATTTTAAGCAAAAGTTGTTTTGGTCAGTAATGAGCATCAGCTTTCATACTTAGAAATACACTGCAAGTCCCAATATTGGACTTGTTTTAAGAAATAGTGACTATGAGTATCCATTTTTCTATGTTTCCAGGTCAGGATATCCATGTATCCAGGTTAGGATATCCATATATCCAAGTCAATGTATCCATGTATCCAAGCCATTATATATCCATGTCAGGATATCCATCTATCCAGGTGAGGATATCCATCTATCCATGTCAATTTATCCATGTATCCAAGTTAGGATATCCATGTATCCATGTCAATATATCCAAGTATCCAGATCAGTAGATACAATATAGGCCTTGCCTGAAGAGTTCTATCTGTCATAGATATTGGATAGAACAACTTCAACAGGAAACAATCAATGAACAAGTGCTTTCTGTGTGTTAGGTGTTTCTGATACTTAAAGCTTGCTCAAGTTCTATTCTTCTTTGCTGTACCTGAAAAACATTGGATAAAATATTAAGCTCAATTTGACCCTGGCAAGACTAAAAACATAATTAATAGATTATGTCAATACAACTAGTAGAAAGATAGCTGCACTACCATAAAACACATCTTAATACAGTAATGTTGTTACAAACTGATATAATACTTGTACAGTATTTCATCATCTACGTACAATAAAATAGGTCACTGTTTGCTGTGTGTACATTTATAGGTGCATGCTTGAGCATTTGGCAGAGTAAGAGCCCACTTAACTTGCCACAGATTATGAAACACCTAAAGTATTGGGCCTGGTCACCAACCACTCACCTTGCCATAGAAGTATCTACAGACAGCCTCCTGTGCCCAGGGCTGGTAGTAGTAGTTGGTGTGTCTCTCCTCCTCAGGGTTACCTGCCACATCTGTCATTGTCTGGAACATACACGCACACATACATTAACAAATAGTATCATACATTTACCTACAGCATCATCATGAATACACGCACACATACATTAACATACAGTACTATGAATACAGACACATTACCATACATGCACCGTTAACACAAGCACACAAATATTAAAATGCAATGACATGAATACATGCACACATACATTTACATTCAGTTTCTGGATCACGCACAAATACATTACCATATAGTACCAATAACACACACACACACACACACACACACACACACATTAACTTGCAGTGTCATAAATGAACACAAATGAATACAACAAAGAATTATTTAAGAAAGTTATATAAGCACTGTAAGCTTTCTATAACAAGTGTCCAGTACACACTGATGACTTCATGAAGAGTAGTTATATCATCTATAGGTTGAGAAATGTTACACTTTGCATGTACATACACGCACACACACACACAGTGCGATATAGGGTAGATTATCTTCAGATCACTGGTCTGAGAGACCTGTCACTTGTTTACACACACACACACACACACACACACACACACACACACAGGTCAGATATAGGGTAGCTTACCTTGAGATCTCGGGTCTGAGAGACCAGCCAGTTGTTTATAAACTCCTGTGGATCCTTGGCAAAGCTGAGAAGAAACTCTCTGTTGGTCTTCAGCTGGTTGATGGTTTCTACAGTCTCATGGATCTGAAATGACAAGGCACTTTACTAAATACACCATAGAAGTCCAACAGAATCAGTCCAATAAAGAGTCCATTATGATTTATACATGAAGTGTGTCCTAGGGGAGTGGCATAAATGGTACCATAGAGTCAAAGTTGATTCCTTCAGAATCCCATACTAATTTTCAGTATGGGATTTCAAGAGTTGTAAATATCAATGGGCCCCAAAATGCCTCTGATTATTGATGCAAAAGTTTGACACAGAT